TTTTCTGAGTTTGTTTGTTTCTTGAAGTGTAATTAACCCACACCACTATGCTGGCTCCTGGTGCACAACATAGTGATTTGCTACTTCTGTACATTACAAAATGATCACCAGAACCTTTGTACTTTTAAATGTACTAAGTGAGCCTGCTATGATGCACATAAATTCTTGTATAAAGTGAGGAATCTTTTTAAAATAATAATTTCCCATACACTTAAAAATAAACTACAGGTCTCAACTACTCATCCCAGAACAGCAGGAAGGCATCCACAGACAATGCAGAAACAAATGGGCTTGACAGAGTCCCAGTAAAACTTTATTTTTGGACACTTAAAAAATAAAAAAATAATAAACTACAGTATTAGAATACTCCTTGTTTTAAAGCAGTGACACCTGTACACACAGTTCATGAAAAGCTTTCCGCACAACATAACGCCATTTGCAGCAACATGGATACTCCTGGAGAATGTCATTCTAAGTGAAGTAAGCCAGAAAGAGAAAGAAAAATACCATATGAGATCGCTCATATGTGGTATCTAAAACCCCCCCAAAAAACAAAGCATAAATACAAAACAGAAATAGACTCACAGACATGGAATACAAACTTGTGGTTGCCAAGGGGGTTGGGCGGTGGGAAGAGATAGACTGGGATTTCAAAACTGTAGAATAGATAAACAAGATTATACTGCATAGCACAGGGAAATATATACAAGATCTTATGGTGGCTCACAGAGGAAAACATGTGGCAATGAATATGTATATGTTCATGTATAACTGAAAAATTGTGCTCTGCACTGGAATTTGACACACTGTAAAATGATTATACATCAATAAAAAATGTTTAAAAAAAAGAAAGAAGAAATAAAGAAAAAAAAGAAAAGCTTTCCGCGAGGCGTCCGTCCCCACCGGTCACCCTACCTCCCCCTGGTGGGCAAATGGAAAATGTGCGTCTAGCCCAGGGAGCTTTCCTTCATCGGAGTCTTTGCGCTAGGTTCCCGAAACGACCGCTATTTGCTCGTTTTATCATGCCGTCCCTCCTTCCCACCAGCCTCGGCATAGTTCTGGTATCTGAGAGACACTTAAGACTCGATTCTGAGAAAAACACCCAAGGACGCGATCAGTCTCAGTTCTGAAGAGAGAACCGCGACGGCCGCACAGTTGGCGCTGGGGTGAAGAGGAAGCCCCGAAGGCATCAAAGCAGAACGCCTCGGCGGTAACAGAAGCGGCCGCTCCGGAACGAGCACGGAAAACACTTCTCCGCCGTGAGTGCGGCTCCCGGCGCGCGCGGAGCCCCGCGGCCGAGTGGGGAGCCGACTGGACCGGGCACACGGCTCGCGTCTGTGACTCCTCCTACGCCGCCGTCGCGGGCTCGTCCCCCGGCCGGGCGAGGACCCCGCGTGGAA